ATCAGTTTGGCTGAGCTAAAATCAAGCTCGGTCAGCGAGGCTGCCTTCCTCTCCGGTGGGTCCAGGAGAGAATCCATTTGCTTGCCTTTTCCAGCTTCTAGAAGTGCCCGCATTCCTTACCCCATGGCTCTTATCCTTGTCTTCAAAGGCAGCAGTGGGTACCAGTCCTCACGTCAAATCTCTCACCGCAGTTTGCATATGTTCTCTGCTTTTAAGGACTCATGTGACTGGGCCCATTGGATAATCCAGTGAAATCTCCTCACTGAGAGGTTGCAGTTTTCATCACATCTGCAAAATCCCCTTTGTCATGTGAGGTAACATGTTCACAGGTTCTGGGGTTTAGGGAATGAACAGGGCTCTTCCCTAAACCTTTCGATCTTTTGCTCCTTCCTTTATCTGATACAAAAGTTCTGAGGACAGAAACCTACGACAAACAGGGTTTATCTTTCCTCATAACCTGGTCCACTCTTTCTCTGTTCAGGCTTCCTTTTCCTTAAGGGACGTTTCTTTTTTCCCTGTGTTTTCTTTTTTAAAATTGATTTACCATATTATAAGTTTCAGGTGTACAACATAGGGATTCATAATTTTTAAAGGCTATATTCCATTTATAGTTGTAATAAAATATTGGCTATATTCCCTGTGCTATACAATATATCCTTGTAGCTTATTTATTTTATATATAGTAGTTTGTACCTCTTAATCCCCTACCCTTACCATGTCCCTCCCCGTTCCCTCTCCCCACTGGTAACCACTAATTTGTTCTCTATATCTGTGAGTCTGTTTCTGTTTTGTTCTATTCACTAGTTTGTTTCATTTTGTATTTATTTAATTTATTTATTTTTTATGTTTCATTTTTTAGCTTCCACATATAAGTGATATCACACAGCATTAGTCTTTCTCTGTCTGACTTATTTCACTTAGCAGAATACCCTCCAAGTCCATCTATGCTGTTGCAAATTTCATTCTTTTTCAATGTCTGAGTAATATTCCATTGTATATACGTGCCACATCTTCTTTATCCATTCATCTGTGGATGGACACTTAGGTTGCTTCCATGTCCTGGCTATTGTAAATAATGCTGCTATGAACATTGGGGTGCACGTGTCTTTTTGAATTACTTTTTTGTATTTTCAGGTAAATACCCAGGATTGGGATTGCTGGATCATATGTAGTTCTACTTTTAGTTTTTTGAGGAACCTCCATACTGTTTTCCATGGTGGCGGTACCACTTTACATTCCCACCCACAGTGCACGAGGGTTCCCTTTTCTAAGGGGTCTGTTTGGAGCGATGGCCCTTGGGTGCGTGTGGAGCCCCCTCCAGCCAGCGATATTTGTAGCTGTCTGTCTGGCTTCTGGCTCCATCTGCTACCTTGGGGCCCAGGAGCAGCAGTTTTCTCTTTGCTGTTGCTCGCTCCCTGTGGAACTTCTCAGCTGGAATGAGTTACAGGGTGAAGGACTGGGCTAACATTCCTCCCTCTCCTGGAGTTGTCAAAGGCCCTGGGGCCTGCCCGGAGGGTTTGAGTCAACATCAGGAGACCAGGGCAGGCCGGCAGAGAGGATGATGAGACAGACTTGAGTTGCAGCTCCCCAGGAGCATGAGGCTTAGCCGGCTGGAAGCACAGGCTGCAGCTAACAAGAGAATATTTATTCTTGTTCATTTTCAAGTCCTTGGCTTGGGTCCAACTGGTCCACTGCCCAAGAACTGGATGCAGGAGGAAGGCTTTTTTTCAAAGCATCTTTTTTTAAAAAAAAATTATTTATTTGGTTGCACTGGGTCTTAGTTGTGGCAGCAGGCTCCTTAGTTGTGGCATGCGAACTCTTAGTTGCGGCATGCATGTAGGATCTAGTTCCCTGACCAGGGATCGAACCTGAGCCCCCTGCATTGGGAGAATGGAGTCTTATCCACTGTGCCACCAGGGAAGTCCCAGGAGTCTGGACTTTTAATGCCGGTTTTGGAAGGTGGGAGCGAGACCCACCTGTGACAGGTGTCACCCTCATTCCCCTTGGAGGGTAGGAGGACTGATTCCATCTGTGTGATCACCAGGCTGTGCTCTTTCCTTCTCTCCCTTGACCCCCAAGACACACACACACACCCTTAAATGGTGGAGGTGGAGGGAGGTACAGCAGTGTGATGGCTACACACACAGATTCTGGAGCCAGAGCTCCCATGTTTGAATCTGAGCTCCTCCGCTTACTATTTGTGTGTCTTTGGGAACATTTCTTAACCTCAGTTTCCCTGTTTCTAAGCAATGACAGTGACTCCACTTCACAGGGTTTTAAATGAGGATCAAATGACTTAATATCTGTAAAAACAGAAGAGTGCCAGGGCAGAGCCATAATATGGCTTTGTTAAATAATAATAATAAATGTATATATATATATATATGAATGATCTGCTCTATGAGGATAATCTGGAAAGCTGTTCTTTGGTCAGATAGACTTTGGTAGCTATACATCTGTACTAGAAGTTAGAATTAAGTTCTCAAGTTATTCAGTTTGCAAGAAGTCTGAGGGATTTAGCCGAGGCACATTCAGACTACAAAAATAGGTCTGCGGCTGTGGGTTATATTAGTAGTGATACACTTACTAGGAAAAAGGAGGTGACAGCTCTGTTGTAGCCTACATTGATCAGATCATAGCTATAGTCAGTCCTTCTAAGAGCCTGAGTTATTTCTGGGTTCTTTTTAGTTATACATAAGTTGCCTATGGTTCTGACAGGAAATCAATGCAATCTGTCAGGTTGGCCAAAAGGTTCGTTCAGTTTTTTCCGTAAGATGGCTCTAATAGCACTTAGTTGTCTTTAACGTCATTCAAAACAATTTTGTTAGATTGTATCGTGACAGTTGTCATATCAGTGTACATTTAATAAAAGACTTATCAAAATTGGTGAATTTTTGTGTAGCCATTTTAATATTGAAGATGGAAGAAAAAAGGCAACATTTTTGGCACATTATGCTTTATTATTTCAAGAAAGCTAAAAACGCAACCGAAATGCAAAAAAAGATTTGTGCGGTGTATGGAGAAGGTGCTGTGATTGATCGAATGTATCGAAAGTGGTTGGTGAAGTTTCGTGCTGGAGATTTTTCGCTGGTTGATGCTCCACGGTCAGGTAGACCAGCTGAAGTTGACAGCGATCAAATCGAGACCTTCATTGAGAACGATCAACGTTATACCACGCAGGAGATAGCCAACATACTCATAATATCTAAATCAAGCTTTGAAAATCATTTACACCAGCTTGGTTATATGAATTGCTTTGATGTTTGGGTTCCACGTAAGTTAAGTGGGAAAAAAACCTTCTTGACCCTATTTCCTCGTGCGATTCTCTACTGAAACGTAATGAAACATTCCGTTTTTAAAACAAATTGTGACGGGCGATGAAAAGTGGATATTGTCCAATAATGTGGAATGGAAGAGATCATCGGGGCAGGTGAAATGAACCACCACCAACCACACCAAAGGCTGGTCTTCATCCAAAAAAGGTGATGTTGTGTCTATGGTGGGATTGGAAGGGAGTCCTCTATTATGAGCTCCTTCCGGAAAACCAAGCGATTAATTCCAACAAGTACTGCTCCCAATTAGACCAACTGAAAGCAGCACTTGAATTAGGCACTTGAAAAGCGTCCAGAATTAGTCAACAGAAAACACATAATCTTCCATCAGGATAATGCAAGACTGTGTGTTTCTTTGATGACCAGGCAAAAACTGTTACAGTTTGGCTGGGAAGTTCTGATTCATCTGCTGTACTGACCACACATTGCACCTTCGCATTTCCATTTACTTCGGTCTTTACAAAAATCTCTTAATGGAAAAAATTTCCATTCCCTGGAAGACTGTAAAAGGCACTTGGAACAGTTCTTTGCTCAAAAAGATAAGACGTTTTGGGAAGATGAAATTATGAAGTTGCCTGAAAAATGGCAGAAGGTAGTGAAACTAAAGCGTGAATACGTTGTTCAATAAAGTTCTTGGTAAAAATGAAAAATGGGTCTTTTATTTTTAGTTAAAAACCGAAGGCACTTTTGGCCAGCCCAATAGAATCAACATTCATAGCGAAGCCCTCACTCTTTCCCTTATATAAAATTGTCTCTCGATGATAATAAAAAGGTGAGGCCCCAGCCAACAGATCAGGTCTTGCCTGAAACATTGAGACCAGTTCTAATTTTGGTTGCCACAATTAGAAAGGGGTACCAATACTGGCAAGGCTGGGGAGGAAACTTGAAATATGACAAATTCGGACTCTTAGAGACAAGCATAGCTGTTAGGCTGAAGGTGAGGGGACACAGGAGAGTCACAAGAGCTGACTTCAAACCATGGGAAGGGCTGCCATGAGAGATGTAGCAAGATAAAGAACACATTAAGTACTGAGTGTGCTCAGAGCTTTCCATCGCATACCCAATTAAATGCCCACAGCAACCCTGCGGAAGTAGACAGACTACTGCATGTAACCAGGGGGAGAGAGGTAAAGTGACCGTTGCCAGTGCCCTGATGGATATGTGCCAGGGCCAGGGATCCTAGGCCGTCAGATCTTTCGGCCTCATCTCACCACCACTGTAACGTGATCGCAGGATGCAAGTGTAATATTAGAGCTTTCTAATACTGTGTGTGGGAGTTATGCAGTGATTCCCGACCATCAAAGATGGCCAAGCAGGGACTTCCCTGGTGGTGTAGTGGTTAAGAATCCACCTGCCAATGCAGGGGACATGGGTTCGAGCCCTGGTCCGGGATGATCCCACATGCTGCCGAGCAGCTGAGCCCATGCGCCACAGCTACTGAAGCCCACACACCTGGAGCCCGTGCTCCGCAACAAGAGAAGCCACCGCAATGAGAAGCCCACACACCACAACGAAGAGTAGCCCCCGCTCACCACAACTAGAGAAAGCCCGTGCGCAGCAACGAAGACCCAATGCAGCCAAAAATAAACAAACAAACAAAGAAATAAATATATTTTTAAAAAAAGATGGCCAAACAAATTAATGCTTGATAACTATTGTCAAGTGATTTATTGAAAAGGCGATTTATTTATGTCCTGTTGGAGAGTGGAAATCGTTAATCTGTGAAGGTGACTTCTGGCTTTGAGATTCTGAGTTTCTGTACTTTGGGGTAGAATATACACTTTACATATATTAAGTGATTTTTTTCCCCCTGTATTTTTCACTTCCTCTTACATCCCATCCCCTTCTCCCACTCATGCGGATATTCTGTTCTGGGAACATACTTCTTTTGTTTTATTTATTTTATTTTATTTATTTGGCTGCACTGCGCGACATGCAGGATCTTAGTTCCCGGGCGGGGTTAGAACCCGTGCCCCCTGCAGTGGAGGTGGGGAGTCTTAACTACTGGACCGCCAGGGAAGTCCAACCCACCCTTTTCAAAAAGAGGGGTGTGGTGGCTGGCTGTTTGACAGTTGGGATGTAAGATCATACTATTCTCTCTGGTGGCTGAGTTTATTTTTTTACTAAATTTACTAAGGAGATTATGTTACACTCCTCAGAGGAAAACTTGGAAAGATTAGAAGAGGATGCGATCACATCACCTCTCCTCCCCTCCCCTCCAGTTTCTTGGTACCAGGCAAAACCCAAACCCATGAATGTGGGATTTAGGGCTGGGATTGATTTAAGATGAATATTCTGCTCTTCTCCTAGCATGGGGGACTTGATATAGAAATCAGGTTGACTTTTTGAAAATAAGTTATATTTCTTACACACCTGAGCTTGTGAAGAGACCTATTTTAAGCTTGGGAGATGCAGGGTGTGCTCTGAGTCCTAACACAGTTTGCAAATCTGAATTTTTTTGGTCCTCTGCTTCCCCCGTGTGGACATAAATGGAAATAAATTCAAGATACCCCTTGCCCCAGGAGTGTGAAAATTGGACTGCGGAGAAACCTCCCCTAGGAACTGGTGGAGGTGTGAAGACCGGTGAGGGCTTACGACCCTAGGAGGGAGTCAGGAACTGTTCTCAGGGGACAGGTTCCGACCTCGTACAAGCTGTCAGTGATTCAAGAGGCTTGCTTCGTATTCACCATTTTTATTTTTCCTGGAGACACTTGGATCCAGTAAGCGAGGGATTATCTGTAGGCTCCCAGTCATGCACCTCTGCAGTTCTGGGCCACGACCAGCACCCATGGGTGCCGCGCCAAGCCTCCCACGCCTCTTCTTCCCGGGTTTGGAGTAACAAGTCTGTGGGTTTCTCCCTTAGCTTTTCACACCCTCTCTTCACCGTCTGTCCCTGAGCTACCACCTCCACACAACTCGACACCATCACGTTTGTGTTCGCCGCATCCCTGATTCCTGGCAGAGGTACGGGGCAGAGATGGTCCTTTTGTTCTGATACGAGGACAAGGGCAGCACTTGAGCACAAAGAGGGGCTATGAATCGCCGGGACCCCCCTGGCTGGGATCCAGGGCTGTCTTCTACCTGTAGCCTACCTGCCTCCTTCCCTGGCCAGCTCCCTCCTGGGTGACTGTCACGCTGCCCAGCCTCACCCCATCCCCCCTCGATAGACAGCAGCTGTGGCCTGGGGCCACGTCCCAGCCCTCTCAGGAGAGAACAGGTTCGCTGGGCCGCCTCCAACCTGTCCCCTGGGCCTCCACTCTCCAGCTGGGATCCAGGGACCCACAGGCCTGGCCTGACCTCCCTCCCTCCCTCTGCCCCCTCACGCCTCCAGTCGCTTCCGCAGCCTGCGGTCCAGGGCCAGGAGCTGCCTCAAGAAGCCCCTATTGGGGATGATGCCTCGGTGGTCCTTGACTTTTTTGATGGCCTCCACGAGGGTGAGGCTGTGGTACAGCATGAGGTAGGCCAGCACCAGAGTGGCCGAGCGGCTCACGCCCACAGCACAGTGCACCAGGATCCTCCCTGTGAACACAGACACGAGATATTGCTGGGGACCTCGCGGCGGGCTGGAGGAGGCTGGGGAGAGGGCCCCGCGGACAGGTGGGGAGGTAGACAGGTAAGCAGAGGTGCATGGACGCACAGACTGCTGACGGTAAGAACCCAGGTCCTGGCCAAGGGTGGAGCCTGGACGGGATGAGATGGAGAGCCTTTAGCAGCGCAGCATCCATAAACCCAAAAGGGGCTCGAAGGGAGAGGCTCATCACTAACGCAAAACCGAGCTTTGCACCGAGCTGGGCTTCCTTCTGTGTGTGCTGAGTGCGTCCACGGAAAACCCTTTACGTCTAACTGGGTCCTTCCTCAATCTCCCAGTCACTTTGGAGTGGATGATTAATACATTTTTTTCCTATTAAAAATTAAAAAAAAATTTTTTTGGCCATGTTCTTTGGCATGTGGGATCTTAGCTCCCTGACGAGGGATCAAACCCACGCCCCCTGCATTGGAAGTGTGGAGTCTTAACCACTGGACTGCCAGGGAAGTCCCAATATATTTTTTATATATATATATATATATATTTTTTCCCTGATCACTAAAGCAAGACAGGTTCAAGGTAGAAATCATTAGAAAGTATAGAAATATATAAAGAAGCCAACAATTGAAAAATATATCACCCATAATCTCACCACCCAGGTGCAACTTTCCACTCTCTCAACATTTGGGATTATTTCCTTCTTTTTATGGACTGCTTTGAAAAGACGGTTGAGAGAATAGTTTCCTTTCCTGAGCATTTTATCACATCATTCAAGTCCTTCTCTCTCTCCACACCCAGACCCCTGGGCTGTTCTCTAACCCATTGTCTGTTGGTCCTTCCCTCCTCCTTGCTCCCCTCTTACCTCCTGGCTGGCTCAGTGCCCGGTGGATGAAGTCGGCGGCCGCCTGGAAGTGGACGCTCATATCGAAGGCTGGCGAGTCGTGGGCCTCGACACCCAGGTAGCGGATGCCCAGCCCCACGTAGGCCTCGGGTGTCCCTCGCCACCTGCTGTGAGAGGCGTTGAGGACGTGGCTGATGCCCAGGCGACGGAGCTCCCGGTGGTTGTTGGCTATTTCCCTGCATTGAGGAGTGGAGGTTAGGGGGGCGCGGAGCTGGGCGGTGGGGCCCCGACCTCTGCCCGGCCAATGTCGTTGTCTCCAGGCCTCCACCTCAGTTCCTGAGGACCCGAGATAGGCAATGAGCCAGAGTCTCATCCTGGAGCAAAGGTGGGGAGTCCTGGGGAGATTTTGCCTGGAGGAGAGGAGACTGAGAGATGGGCAAACAACAGCCGTGATAACATATTGAAAGAATGCTCTGAGACAGAAGGACTTTACTTGATCCGAGAAAAGGACTGACAGGGTTTGTGCTTCATGTAAGGAAGTACCTACCAACGGTGGAATCTAGCCGGAGAAAGATTGGGGCGCCTTGGGAGAGAGGGACTTTCTTCACACCAGGGTATTCAAGTAGAGAGAGGAAGCCAATGGATAGGGGCTGGACGTGGCAGAGCGAATCTGAACATTGGATGGGTTGTTGGACCAGCTCACATTTAATGTCCTGCTAACCATTTTTTTAAATTTAATTTTCATCTTAATTTTTTGGCCACGCTGCACTGCATATGGGATCTTAGCTCCCTCACCAGGGGTTGAACACGAGCCCCTTGCAGCAGAAGCGTGGAGTCTTAACTACTGGACCCCCAGGGAAGTCCCGCCCCCCCATTACTTTAGACTCTCTCTGATGCCCAGAATCTTCTTGTGTTTTGCCAGTTACTCCACGCTCATGGTTACCCTGTGGTGGAGGTCACCTTCAGATGTTCCTGTGGCCCGTACCCCTCAGCTCAGCCAACATGATCATATCAAACGTCCTGTCCAGCGCCAACTCCTCAAGCAGAAAGAGCCCTGAACTTGAACCTCCAAGTCCTGGCTCTGCTACTTACGACCCGTGTGACCTTGGGCCAGTCCCAACTTCTCTGAGCTTCCGATGCCTCCTCTGTAACCTGGGGATAGTGGTACCTACCTCACAAGGCTGTCGTGAAGATCAAGAGAGAAAAGGCATGTGAAAAACTCCTTGTAGCCTCTAAAGCCCTTGGGAGAGACAAGTGGGGCCTCCTCTTCCTTTGACGCCCTTCTCTCCATCGACCCCACGCACCTGAGTGAGCCTCTGCACACTCTGTGGCTTGGCTTGGTCAACCTTTCACCTCACTAACCACTGTTCCCGGCCCCAGTGATGGCCTTTGCTCAGGGCACAATAGGTGGAAGGTCAGAGAAGTCATCTAAATGTCCAGCCCTTAGCACTGGCACGCAATCATACATTTTACTAAATGAACGATATGATTACTTGAACAGAGCCTGTCTGTCCAGAGTTGAGTCTATCAATAATCCTGTCCAAACTCCCCCAAACCCTCCTCCACTCTGCCCAGGCACCCCGTCCCCTCCATCCTCCACGTGGAACCAACAGCACAACTCAGCGCCTCTCTGCCACTCTTCTGCTTTCTTTTTGCACATACACACACACACACACACACACACACACACACTCAGCTGTGGTACATACTGGTCTCCGAGGTAGAGGCCTGGCCAGACCTCGTCGGCGTGGTTACAGGCCGTCTTGCCCGTGTAGAGAAGCCTCTCCAACTCAAAGACGTTGAGGAAGGGATGCTGGACAGCTGGTATCTCTTCCAGGGCCCCTCTCGTGCGAACAGGAGACCTCGAGCCACTCCGGGAGAAGCGGGCCATAAATGTCACCGAGGCCCAGAGCCAGTTGCCGGGGCACATCTTAGAGGCGGCAGGAACCGTGGCAGCCACGGGGGTGGCTGATGAGGGGTCAGTCTCCAGGTAGCTGCTGCTGGGAGAGGCAGGGATGTGAGACACACCAGAGTGAGTCTGGAGCAGCTACTTCCCTTCCTGCCAGCTGGGCTGGCCCCTGGGGAGAAGATTCTCCAGGGACGAAGGTGAAGTCTGGCCCCCTGGTGCGGGAAGTGCTCCGGATGGTCTTCTTTGAGCTGCGGCAGCTCCTTTTCCCTGCTCTTTGGCTCTGCCGGGCAAGGAGGTGGGAGAGTCACATGTTCCTGTTTACGGGAGAGGGAGCTGCCGGCTGCTGGGTGTCTGCCCCGCCACTCCACCCCAGCTGCCAGCGCAGACGTAAACACGCACGCAAACATTTGGTATTTGGGTGGCAGGGCCCGCTGCCGGAGCCCTTGCCAGCCAGGATCTGGGTCTCGTCTGCCTGAGGCTACAGGCGGAGAGGCTGGGGGGCTGGCAGGGGGCTTGGGGGTGGCTTTGGACCCATTCAGAGCGAATTAGCATGAAGACAGTGCAGCAGGGCTGTGACACAGCACGCCTGCCTCCTCAGTGCCAGAGGGACGGGCTGCTTTAACCCGTTCCTGCCCTCCCTCTGCCTCAGCGATGAGCCTGCTCTGGGAAGTCTATGGTGGGGATGGGAGGAGTAGGGAATAGTAATAAAGATGAAGTGTCGGTGTTTGAAAACTACTTGCTGAAGGCCCTTGCTGATGGAGGGAAGCGCCAACCTATGTGCGCAACAGGCAAAGCATCCTCCTTTGATCAGCAGACAGATATCATTGATTAAACGTCATCTCTCTGGGTCCAGGCAGGGCTGGAGCATCGTGTGTGTGTGTGTGTGTGTGTCTGTGTGTGTCTGTGTGTGTCTGTGTGTGTCTGTGTGTCTGTGTGTATGAGTGGGTGGGCAGAGGAGGAGGGAGGAAAGGGAAGAAATTAGGGATCCTTCCAGGCCCAGGGGCTCAGAGTCTGGAATTAGCATCTGTGTTGCTGGTGGAATTCAAGTGGCCCTACTTAGCACATGGGGTCCTCAATGAGGGGCCTTAGCGGAGGTGCCTCTGACTCTCTGTGGACAGCTGGGCCTCCTGAAAGTGGGACCATGTGTTGAGCTGCAGAGCTGGGAAGGGCCAGCCTTTGAGACTTGCCCCAAGAACTTCAGGGCAAGAGCCACGCCCACTCCCCCCTTCCTCCCCTTCCTCCTCCTCCCCTTCTTCCTCCTCCTCCTCCTCCTCCTCCACTTCCTCCTCCTCTTCCACTTCCCCCCTCCTCCTCCCCTTCCTCCTTCTCCTCTTCCTCCTCCTCCTCTTCCATTTCCTCCTCCCCTTCCTCCTCCTCCTCTTCCATTTCCTCCTCCCCTTCCTCCTTCTCCTCCTCTTCCTCCTCCTCCTATCCCTCTTCCTCCTCCTCTTCCTACCCCTCCTCCTCCTCCTCCTCCTTTCCCCCTCCCCCTCCACCCTTCTCTCACACTGTGATCCTGACCCTCTGAAAACGTGGGCTGGTCTGAAGGATCCCCCTCCCACTCCCTGTCCTCTTCTGCCCCAGGGACTGAATGGAAAGTCCACAGTGAGAGGCCATCTTTGTCCTGCCCCCAGCCCGCTTCCCCACCCACGCTCTCAGCCAGGGCCCAGCTCTCCCCATCCCCCCATCCCCCGGGCCAGAAGAGATCTAGCGCTCACAGGGCAAAAGGAGCAGAGGTCTTAGGATCAGGACTGGTGAGGGGAGATGGGATCTTGGGGTGTTTAGGGAGAGAGGTGGTTTTCCCTGGCGGGTCAGAAGGAGCACAGAAACAGAGCACGAGAGCCGTCACCACCACCACAGCTATCAGCTTCAACGTCATCACCACCGTCATCTACTTTTCCTCCGCAGGCCTGAAGACCCCACCATCTGGTTCCCAAACAACCTTTCCTGGAAACAGATTCTGCCGCCTGTGGGAAGCTGAACGGTGCAAAGAGAGCGGGAAGCAGACCAGGTGTAGCAGGAGCTCCGTGTGACTCTATTTCTCCCCATTCCGTCACGGGGTGCCCCCCTGGGCACCCTCCAAGCCCATCCGCAGGCTTCTGGGGGCCCTGGTCCGCCTCCCCCCTCCCTCCCTCTGCTGTCGCGGTTGTAACAGGTTCATGGCTGTCGCCCAGCCCTCGCCAGCCCAGACAGCCTGGCGCGGAGGGCGGAGGGATGGAGCCCAGGCGGGCCCCGCAGGTTCGCTCCCAGGCCCCTTGCCCTCGCCTCGGCCCCCAGCCCCGGTCCCCGCGCCTCGCCCACCCGCCCCGGCCCCGCTACCTCGGGAGGCGGCGCGGGTCTCAGTCCCGGAGGCAGATCGCCGGCTCAGACAGCCCCACGGCCATGACTCTGCCGCCACCGCCGCCTCGGCTGCCAGCGCCAGACCGGCTGATGGATTAGCATCTATTTTTAAGCCATGACACGCACGTCGAAGCAGGGCTGGTATCAGTGTGCGTGTGTGTCAGCGACACGCAGGGACACAGCCTCACACCCGGTGGCCCGAGTGGACACGCGGCGTGGGCCACGCAGCCCGCACCCCCTGCGGCCCCGCCTCGCAGACATGCTAGTGTGTTTGTGTATTTTCGGAGCTGCGCCAATGACAGGCACTTTGCCTAAAGCTGACATTATGTAAGTCGTCCCAGACTGTGTCTTGAGCACACACGCTCCTCCCCAGGCAGCGTTAATTAATTACACAGACACGAGGATGATTCCCACTTACTTGTACATTTCTCCTTCTCCGAGAACACCGTGGTACAGAGAACTATTGTTCGTAACCCTGATCAGTATTTACTACATACCACGTGCTTCACATATCTTAGCTCATCTTATCCTCACCACAAGTCTGTGACCGAGGTGATATTGTTATTGTACCCATTTTAGGGAGGAGGAGACGACGAGGCCCAGAGAGGCTAAGTGATCTGCCCAGGGCACGCTAGGCATCGCCAGAGCTGAGCTTCACACCCTGGCTGCCTGGCTGGGAAGTTCAAGTCCTTAAGGGCTTTCTGAACAAGTGTCCCCCGCACAATGGAGAGGGCACAGTGGATTTCTATCCCGAAAGCCATTTCGGGCAGCTCAGCTCCTAGTGAATTTCCCTTTCCTCCACTCCTGAAGAAATTCATGTGCTGCTTTTTGGGGATATTTAGCTTCACTTGCCTTTCTACCGTAAGCACCCTGTAGGCTCCAGTATTGTAAACACTTGGAAGGCAAGGACAGTGTTGTGGTTCCCGGTGCCCAGCTCACTGTGTGATGGGGAGGTGGGGGCAGTAATGAATGTTATCAGGTGACACTTTGAGAACCAAGAAGACTCGGACTCCAGGAGAGCTGCCTGACAGGAGGAAGCCAGGAAGAAGATGAGGTCATGCTGGACCTGGCTTAGGATGGGTAGGTGGTATCTACTGTAGCTGAAATCAGGATGGACTACATTCCCAGAGGGATGGTAGATCAGGCTTTGAAATCCAAGTCAGAGAAAGTGACATAATCCCCAGTTCAGTTCCATCACAGGGTGTCATCGAAGAGTAATTCCCCCCTCCACCCAACCTTTTTCTCTTTAGAGAAGCAAACACAATTCCTCTCTATTTTCCCTGCGCCTTCTTGGTATGGCAATTTACCTGAAGACATGAAATCCTCATCATTTAAAACAAAAAACCCTTCTGGGGTTCCCTGGTGGCGCAGTGGCTAAGAATCCACCTGCCAAGGCGGGGGACACGGGTTCGAGCCCTGGTCCAGGAAGATCCCACATGCCGCTGAGCAACTAAGCCTGTGCACCACAACTACTGAGCCTGTGCCCTAGAGCCGGCGAGCCACAACTACTGAGCCCGTGTGCCACAACTACTGAAGCCAGCGCGCCTAGAGCCCGTGCTCCGCAACAAGAGAAGCCACCGCGATGAGAAGCCCCCACACTGCAATGAAAAGTAGCCCCCACTCGCCGAAACTAGAGAAAGCCCACGCACAGTAACAAAGACCCAATGCAGCCAAAAATAAATAAAATAAAATAAATTAATAAACAAACAAACAAAAACCCTCCTGGGAAATTTGAAATGTAACCACGGAAGCCCAAGTTCATAGGGTTTTTAAAAATGTATTCTTGTTATTAAAAAAAATTTCTTTTAGTCAATAGGCAGTTTCTCTAAGACTTAAAAAAATCTATCTTTGTTGGAATAATATATCTTTACATATAATTCTATTTTAAGTGTAACTCATAAACTATAGCCAGATTAAAAATTAATCTATATTTTAATCAGTGACTCTCTTTTTATATTTATTGTGTTTACTAGTATTTAAAAAAATGATTTCCACATCTTCTTTTGTGTTTTCTATCTGTTGTGCTTTCTCTTTCTTCTTTTGTCCTTTTCTTTCTTTGGGTGAATTTATCTAGTGTTCTTTATCCATGTTACTGAGCTCTGTTGATTTGAAGGTTAACGTCTACATTTAATTGGTACTTTTATGCTCTCCCTGAATAAGACGAGGATTTTTATTTTAATTTCCCTCAGAAACACTTTCTTTCCCATTTTCTTTATTATTATTATCCACTACTTTGAAACCAGCTTTAAAAAAATTTCTTTGTTTTAGTCATCAATCACATAAGGCACGTAATTTAAAGAAACAATGCATTCTGCAATACTTATACAAAAATAGCGACCTTCTACTTATTGTCTTCCATCCATATCCCAAGGAAACATGTTGAACAATTTCAGGTATTAAAATTTTTGTACCTCTCAATATGTTTATGTTGCTACTTCTTAATTTTTCAGTTTTAGGAATTATCTGTTAATTTCTCACTATGAATGCTGAGGGTTTATTTCTCTTCTATTTCATACCTCCAAGATATATATAAACATTCCCTCTTTATGCATTTTTTATATGTACAGCTATATCATAATTTTGTTATGTAAGTATTCAGTATTTAAGATATTACAACTATATAATCCTTATTCACAGTTGAATCGTGTTGTTTGTTATGATTACTTCTTTTTCTTACATGACTTTGTTTTCCCTTCAGTTAATAATTATTTTTTTGTGTTTCATTGCTTAATTTTCAATGGATGTGTCACTAATTCAGCCCCACACTTTTCCCCAATTGCCTAAATTTCCTGTCAGTAAACATTTCAGTTATTTTCTCAGTATCGTTTTTTTCCATAAGTCTTTTCTGGAGCCTTCTGACTTATCCCCATCTGGATAGGTTGCTCTCAACACTAGTGAAGAGCTGTTACCCTGGGATCGATCTCCTTTTACTCTCATGCTGGGAATTCCCTTTGCTTCTGGAAGCCCTGTTTCCTGGGCATCCTCTGTTCTTCGTATGATACCACCATACTCAAATATCCCTGATATTGCCCCAGTCAAGAAAGGCTCTGTTTTACTTCTTTAGAGAATAAGGTTTATTTCTACAGGGAAGGAGCCTGATTGCAGTGATTGGAGGTCTGTGGAGTTTAATTTATTTTAATTAAATTAATTAAATTTAAACAGACTTCCAATGCAGTCTATGTTTTTATTTATTTTTATTTTTTTAAACATCTTTATTGGAGTATAACTGCTTTATAATGATGTGTTAGTTTCTGCTTTATAACAAAGTGAATCAGCTATACATATACATATATCCCCATATATCCTCCCTCTTGCATCTCCCTCCCACCCTCCCTATCCCACCCCTCTAGGTGGACACAAAGCATTGAGCTGATCTCCCTGTGCTATGCAGCTGCTTCCCACTAGCTATCTATTTTACATTTGGCAGTGTATATATGTCCATGCCACTTTCTCACTTCGTCCCAGCTTACCCTTCCCCCTCCCTGTGTCCTCAAGTCCATTCTCTACGTCTGAGTCTTTATTCCTGTCCTGCCCCTAGGTTCTTCAGAACTAGTTTTGTTTTGTTTTTTTTTTAGATTCCATATATATCTGTTAGCATACGGTATTTGTTTTTCTCTTTCTGACTTACTTCACTCTGTATGACAGACTCTAGGTCCATCCACCTCACTACAAATAACTCAATTTTGTTTCCTTTTATGGCTGAGTAATATTCCATTGTATATATGTGCCACATCTTCTTTATCCATTCATCTGTCGATGGACACTTAGGTTGCTTCCATGTCCTGGCTATTGTAAATAGAGCTGCAATGAACATTGTGGTACATGACTCTTTTTGAATTACGGTTTTCTCTGGGTATATGCCCAGGAGTGGGATTGCTGGGTCATATGGTAGTTCTGTTTTTAGTTTTTCAAGGAACCTCCATACTGTTCTCCATAGTGTATCAATTTACATTCCCACCAACAGTGCAAGAGCGTTCCCTTTTCTCCACACCCTCTCCAGCATTTATTGTTTGTAGATTTTTTGATGATGGGCATTCTGACTGGTGTGAGGTGATACCTCATTGTAGTTTTGATTTGCATTTCTTTAATGATTAGTGATGTTGAGCATCCTTTCATGTGTTTGTTGGCAATCTGTATGTCTTCTCTGGAGAAATGTCTATTTTGGTCTTCTGCCCATTTTGGATTAGGGTGTTTGTTTTTTTGATATTGAGCTGCATGAGCTGCTTATAAATTTTGGAGATTAATCCTTTGTCAGTTGCTTCATTTGCAAATATTTTCTCCCATTCTGAGGGTTGTCTTTTTGTCTTGTTTATGGTTTCCTTTGTTGCACAAAAGCTTTTAAATTTCATTAGGTCCCATTTGTTTATTTTTGTTTTTATTTCAATCTCTCTAGGAGGTGTGTCAAAAAGGATCTTGTTGTGATTTATGTCATAGAGTGTCCTGCCTATGTTTTCCTCTGAGAGTTTTATAGTGTCTGGCCTTACATATAGGTCTCTAATCCATTTTGAGTTTATTTTTTGTGTATGGTGTTAGGGAGTGTTCTAATTTCATTCTTTTACATGTAGCTGTCCCATTTTCCCAGTACCACTTATTGAAGAGGCTGTCTTTTCTCCGTTGTATATTCTTGCCTCCTTTATCAAAAATAAGGTGACCATATGTGCAGTCTATGTTTTTAATTCATCTTCCAGAGATACCTAGAGTTGCCAGTTCCTTGGCCTTTTGGTTGCTCTGATGTGTAAATCAGATTGATCACCAATGTTCCCCAACTGACTTGCCTTCTGCTCTTCAGCATCCAATATTTTGTTGTAAGTGAAATAGTTCCTGTTCTTTTCATTCTGGTGGGTTTTATGTTTTTTAAAAGAGTCTTTCAACTGTCATTTTTGTGGGGTTTCAGGAAGAAGCAGAATTAATTTTTTTTTAATATGCTATCTTTCACCAGGAATGACAGCTGGCTTTTGAAAACACACACAAAAAATGATTGATATTCTAATTTTTTTCACATGCCATATTTATCTAGCTTTACCAGCATGTTTTAACAATTCTTTTGCCTACTCTTGCTTCTTTATCCTGTTCATCTCTTCTAGGTCCCTTTTTCCCTTATTTTGTAGTTCTTTTTGTTAGGGACTGTTAATAGTAAATTTCTAAGTGCTTGAATGTCAAAAAATTTCTAATTTGCCTCAACTTGTAAATGATATTTTGCCTGACTTTAGAAATTTAGGTTCCCAATTGTGTTTCCTCAGCACATCAAAGATATTACTTCGTTGTCTTCCAGCAGTTATT